CGAACTCTTCTGATTCCCCTCAGGAAAACTAATTCTGATCTCAGATTTTATTGGTTTTTCCTGGCACTCATTTCCTGGTTGCAAAAAGCCTTTTTTATCCAATCCTATAAAAAAGTAATAGAAAAATGTGCTCTGGGTTTTCCTTATACTTGCTCGTAACTCTCAAAAGCATGAAAAAGTAGAATGAGGCAGATGGGAACGTTATGACCATGGATAGACCCTAGCTAGGTAATTCAACAGATCAAGAACTCTCCAGAATTTGTGGGAAATTCTGCCATGTGTTATACATTTAGTTTTAATTACACGTACCAAATGTAATAAGCTACTACAAGCTGTGGGTAGCTTTTGTATGGGGAGGAGCATCTGCTAGAAAACCCAAACTGCCTGGCAATGACATGCTTTCCTCTGGTGGCATCCATTACCATTTTGGGGTTTCCACTGTAATCACTCTGTGGGAGCGCCTGTTGTCAGGACACAACTTCATGTTTAAGGCAGCATTCTTTAGCTTTAGCATGGGTTAGGAGGGAATGAATTATGTGAGGAATGTGGTAGTAACCTGGTGGTCGCATTTGCATATTATTCTGCTCTGCTATATATATATTTGTGAGAAAAATACACAAAAGATGCCAATAAATTATCTCATAGACACTTCTAGCTGTATTAATAGCCATAAAGGTGGAAGGAAAAAGCACATAAATAGCAAAAATACCCAGGAGACAAAGGTGGCTGGGCTGCCTTTTATCAGCCATTTCCCAGTTGACTAAGAAATGGGGTTTTTTTGTCTGGTTCAAACTTGTCTGTCCTTTAAGAAGGATGCTTTTACAAAGTTGACACAGGGCATGATTAGAGAGTGAAACAAACAATCGTGGGGCCATTTTTTAAATTAAGAACCATATTGTAGGCAAGATTAGCCTGGATGTGTGAAGCATCCTTGGGTGTCCTGAGGCTGCCAGCAAAGAGGCAGCTGACGAAGAATTGCATCGCAGGTGTGTGTGCAGGGTGGGTCCATCCTCCAGCAGGGATCCCTCCAGGTGGGAAGGGCAGGTGGGGGGACAGATCCCCTTCTTCTTCTGCCGCCTGGAGCAGCCCAGATTCTGCAGGTTTGCTCCCCAAACGCAGCCCCGCCGGACCCTCCTCCGGAGCACGCAGGACTCGTATCCACGGGCTGGAAAGAAAACAGGACTTCAGGGCGCAGTCTGACCGGAAAACGAGGAAAACGCAACGCAGATTTAACCCAAACTACATCGCCCAACTCTTGGTTGACACCCCTCGACGATCCTTCCGTCGCAAGACGAGACGGTGGGAGCTGCTCCTGCCGGACGGGGGGGGGGGAGGGGGGGGCGGGG